TTATCTGTTCTGTAGATATTCTGGATACAAATTTGAAGTTAAACATCAGGAACGGCTTCAGGTTTTGACAGCTCAAGTACATGTGCTATTAATTGACCTGGCATCGTCCTTTACTGTCCTCTGCAGTGCAGAACAAGATATAATCGTCATAAATATGCACGGTTAAATTACCATGAATCACCAACGAATTATTCGTTTCTTTTACTGTTTGTTATAGAAGTTTATATTAGAAACAAAAATTTGCAGACAGAAAAAGTATACGCATTACATGCAAATTTAAATATATGTTTGAAAATTTGCCAAATATTTAACCAGAGAGACAGCCGTGATTAAACCGACAATTTTATGATGACAGTAGGGATATCCGGGAGATGAATATTTCATTAGAGTGATACAGACATAGTTTATCCGCATTGTCAACTTCGCGGATTAAATCCCGATGTAATTCCTGTAAAATTTTTTGGAAAAATTACGATAAGCTCTGAAATATGCCAGTGATTAAATTTTTAATACGTTAAGGTTGCTATACATTGTGCTTCTATATAGTATAATGCTTTTCCGCAAAAATCAAATTAAGAGTTTAGGAAAACACTATAAAAGATTTAGAAAAAAGCTTGATATTTACATAAGTCTACACATGTAATATGAAATAAAAATGTTACTGACATTTTTTTTTTAATGTATTATTTTAAAATGTATTATAGACTACAAAAAGCCATACTCTTTTATGAGTCATACGGGTGAATATGATATTCTTCTCATGAGGATGAGTAATATATACGTATATATATATGATGAAAGGGACGCGTAATGCTAACATGCCGAAACGAACAGCGGATACTTTGGCACCCCTATTGACTCCTCCGCTTCTCATCTTCTTTTCCCATGTCGTTTTTGCTTTCCCTCAAACCTTCGAATCTTTCTTATTCTTTAGAAATATCGATTTTTGGTATAAAATTTCTCTTTTACGAGAAAACTTTATTTTCTTTATAATAAGTTCAAAATAATTATTAACATTAGATAATACTAATGACATATGCTTCCTCTCATGATGTTGACGTATGTTATTGAAATGAATATGCAATTACATACTTGAAATATATGCGTGTTAAACGCATCGAGAGTGCAATATACGTACGATAAAGTAGTTTGATTTATATACAGCTGCTAAATGTGATCTCTATTAAACGTGTACTTTGTATATGGACTCCAGAGTATGGTAAATCACGGGGGTGGCGTCGGATGCGTTCCCATGAGACATAATAATATAATCGCGCCCTAAAGTACCAAGTTCGACACCGTCGATGTCGGACGAGCTTCAGAAATAATTAACAGCCTAGCTCCGTGTCTCTTAGCTTGACTGGCGTTACATCTATCATTAAGAAACATATCGTCTTTTCATCTACAGACTAAATTTTCTAAAGCAATGAATATTAATAAATAGTTTAATTAATTCTCTCTTTTGCAAATAAAGACGCGGGAATGTAACGCGTTTTTAGAATTATTGTACGTATTATAATTGCGAAATTTTGTGAAATTTGTATATAAGAAGAGTTTAAGATAATTTATATACTCCAAGATATTTTTAATTATATATATATATTTTCTCAAAGTTAAATATTAGAATGTCCTAAATTAATAAAGATATATAACCATGACAATATGTGTAACATAATTTATTACACGTATATTTTCAAGTAAGTGCACCTATGCGATAATATTTCACTTAAAAGTTACCAAGCATGGAGTCTTGAATATTTTAAATGTGTTACACATAAGTAATTAGAAACTCATTACGCTTCTTCGTCAAGTACAAGTAGTGCTTCTCGTAGACAACCACGTTCTTAGAAGTTGCTTTATAACAAAGAGGTAACAACCACCCTCATAAGTAGGCGTGACAACTCACGTGTCTGCCCACGGAGTAACTCGTGCATACACGTGAAACCGAGCACGTGAATAGGGGAGCAGGCTTTGATTCGGACTTACGAACGACTCCACGAGAACTTTACGAGGAGGACAACGAGGGTTGGTGGTGCTCTCTACGTGTAGAAGACCTCGGGGAAATCCTAATATTTTAACCAGCGCGGCGACGAAGTATGAAAGGACCCGCGCAAGCAGAGGAGTGAAAGGGAAATGGGGTGTTGTGTCGAGTCATCCCTGCGTCTACCCTCGCAGACGAGCGTCTACATACGTACACATATCCGTATGCGGTATCCCTGGAGGGAAGTACTTGCAATTAACGCGGTAAGACTTGGCTATTGCAAAGGGTAAGCCCCTTCACCCTCCTTCACCCTTCTCGAGTTCTTTCGGTTCCGATTCTCATTCAAAGTAAGTTTGGAGGAGACGAGCTGGAATTTGTGCTCAGTTATTTGTCAACGATACGTATAATTTTCACGCCTGTAATATACGTATATAATTGCTATCAATGACATTATTACTGGTTGTTGTATTAAAAGTATTTTACACGCAAACATCCCTCCTACGCTTATAAATCTTTATCTTTGTGAGATTGCTCGAGTGTACATACTATCGATACGTTCATTTGAGAGTGGATTTCTTTCCCCAGATCGGAAATACGACTTAGTCATTGACTGTCCATTGTGCTATTAAGTGCATATTCGTGTAAAATCCCAGCGGTACAATCATCTCGAATTTTCAGTTATATTCTCACGTAAAGCGATCGGTCGTCGTGATAGATTTTGCTCGTACACTTTTTTACAATTGTAACATTGATGATTTTATATGAGGAAACCGTTTTTGTAAAATCATTGTAAAATAGACGCATGTGAAATCGGTAAGTAAGGTTCATATAGATTTCTTATCCAGTCACAAGAATGATAAATTACTTAATGTCAGTATATATATAGTAGAATATATAAAAATGTATACTATGTGTATAAAAATAATTTATAATTGTATAAAGTATATTACAAAGTGATAATGAAAATTACGATTACTTACGATTTAAAGTTTTTATATGTTTACTATATATTGAGGACATTGACATAACTTGCACGTATAAAGGAATAAAACATTTTGATATATATTTTATTAGTTGTACGTGCCAATGTATTTTCAAACTTATTACATTTGATTCAAATAAAATGCGCAAAAAAAAGATTAGTTTCTTAGTGCTGGCAACACGAACGTATAACGATTGTAGGAGCACATGCGTGCAAGTTATTGAATGTTTCCGCAGAGCAATTTCGTTCAATTATATCTCTGCCGATATATCTCGTATTTCCCCAATCTTTCTCTTCTTTCTTCCATTCAATTACTTGTTCCGGTAGAAAAATGGCAATGATGATATCATATTCCCGGCTATTTAGTAGACACATTTGGAGGAATATTCCGTTGATAAAAGTTATCTCACCGTTTTATTCTACGGCCGGGCTCATTTGGTGTTCTTATCATGTCATTTGATAAATTTGTGCCTAGAATTAAATGAAACCTATTCTTTTATTATTCTTTTATTATCTCTTTTTCTATTATTCTTATATCATCTTTTTATTGAATCGTATTTTGCGATTCATAAATGATAAACTAAAAGAGTTTTATAAATTAATATTTTAATAATTTTTCTTGGGAAAAGAAAGCATACTCTTGCCAAAATGACCAATGACAATAACTTAATATTATATGTCCAAGTCTAATCGTAATTCGATATCCATCTTTCTAGCAATCTACTTCCTACGCGTCACGTGACGAAAAATTGCTGAAAAGCAGAAAAGAGAAGAAAGATTTGACTACTTCTGCTGACATAACGCTCGTTCTTGGAATCACTTGCAATTCTTTCCGCTTTCAACGTGCAAAAGGGCAGAAGACGCCTCTCGGGCACCGCAAAACTGTCATCGAGTGAATAGAAAGCTCGAATAGAGCTCTACGGTCGTTCCTTCTCCAATCTGAATCCTTTCACTTTTTAACCCAGTTTCCATTGTTAGACTACTAGGCTGTGCTCCTGTCACGCTCGTTGATTACCGAACTGTCTATTCTATATAGTTAGTACTAAATCGTTTTTTTTTTTCATTTTTTTAAATCATTATCGTATTTATCTTGTCTACAATTAAATATAATAAATAATTAATTAGTTCATATATATATTCTATTTTTAATAAAAGTATATTAAAAAACATGTGACACATTCATATATTTAAAGCGAAGAAATTACATTGCATTAATATCTCTTCTTTATTTTTCATATACACTTGTATGTCTAAACAATAAAAGGATAACTTGTATGTCTATTTGTGTGTACATTTGCAGAAAAATTCTTGAAATGACGTTTAAATAAAGAGTGATTAAAACAAATCCTTGATCATCGTTTACAAGCACTTTGTTTTTATCTAAGTTTATCTTCGAGAGAAATAATTTCGTGGGCGTAACTTTGTCTCAAATAGTTCTTACTCGTTTTCACGAGAAAATAGCATAATTGTACGAGTCCAGTAATTTGTAACGTGTTAAAATTAAATATATATTGAAATCGTGATTTGTAATTATTTGAAATATAATTAATAAAGGTAGAAAATAGAACAAGATCTTGCGAAATGTATCTTAAAAAAAAGTAATAAATATTTTTTTTTTAAACAAATAATGTGTCTTTCAATACGCAACGCGCGCGCAGAAAGAGGTAGATGAATTAACATCTAAAATTTAGATCAACGTGATGCAGCGGCATAAACGAACTATAAAAATTGAACTTTCACGCGTTCTCTCATGCGAGAGAGAAGAGCGAAAGGTGACGATGGAGATCTACTTTGCTCATTTTGCTCTCTCTTTTTTCTTTCTTCGATCTAATAAGTTTCTTATTTTATCTCTTCCTCGTTATCGCTGACTGCACATGTCTCCTTTACGCTATGTGGATTTACTACAATCGTAGAGTCGCGATTTCTTCTGAATTACGCCAGTTCTCTTTTATCCCACAGTTTCCCCACTCGCGGCAAGTGTTTTCATTTGCTTTGGTCCACGGTAAACGAGCGCCGAGCGTGTAGTGCCGTATCAGGTATTGCCGCGCAAGGTATTTCTCGCGACCGAATCTGTGCGTAGAATTTTTTGTTTTAAAGGGTTTTCCCAGGATCTTGACAGCTGCCGAACGCAGCGAGGCAGGCATGAGGACTTTTTGGACTATCGTTCTTTGCGTAATCACCGTGATCGCTGCGGTGTACGCCAAGCCTACGATTTACAAAAAAAATCAAGATAATGTATTCGAACCAGGTAAGCGAAATATCTGCTTATCCAAGAGCACCGCAGATTAAATCGGTAAAAAAAATGCTTTTGGATATTTTGCAAACAAAATTTAAACATTTTCTTGTCGGCTTATTCTCGCTTTTTGCTTGGAGGAGAAAAAGATATTGCGTCTGTATATTTGAATATTTCTTTTCATTACGCAATCTCTGGACTCTTCTTAGCACGCGAGGAATACGTATTATCGGCACGTGTACAAATTTTCTAGTGTACGTCATCCATCTACAAATACTACTCCATTGCAATTTTCCTTTTAAAACAATTAAAAAAAAATGGTTCCTTTATCGTGCACGTAATTGTGCTACATGGACCGGATGAGTTTTCCAATTTTGACAACTGCAGGCAAAAGGATTGATCCTTCCAATTTGCGGTTTTTACGTGTGAAACATACGTTGTCATTCCAGAAAGCCAAGTGAACAAGTTTTATCCCGCAAATCGATACAACGAAATGTCGATACAATATATGTATCTATTAATAACAATATATGTCTTGAAAATGTTCGAAAAATCTATTTCAATTTAACAATATATATTTTGTCTTTTTTAAACAAGAGAACTTAAACAACGAACGGAAAAATGTCTACGCAGAAAAAACTTACTTTCACTTTAATCATTACCAGAATTTAATTAACCGCACTAATTAACACGAAGATTACATGTTATTTCTTTCGTGTTGCGCGTTTGCTTCTTCTACACACATCGCTTCGTACACAAGTTCCTAGATAACACAAAATATTTACGATATTTATTATTTATTTTTTGAAATGTTATATAAATATTTTATACACATTTTATATAAAGTTTTATTTAAAACGTTATTAAATATAGATTAAAAATATATTTTATGTAATATTTATGAGAAATATAAATAAATATTTCTACAAGTATTTTTTATTTGGATTATAATATCTCATAGGTATTTTCATAACATTTACTATAATAATTTATAATAAATATTTATAATCTGTGCAATTTAAAACCACAAAAATATTTATAAAAGATTTAAAATAAATCTTATAAATGCTCTCTTACATATATTTTATAAATATTTTATAAATATTGATGATCTGAATTGATGATAAGTGCATGTTAATAAAAAAAAAAGATCCGAGACGAAATATTACTGACCATATAAAGCGATCTTTCTCTCGAGAATTCCGAATTCGCGCGAATCGATATTGGACAGGTGAATGGAACGGGATGGTGATGTCAGCCAGGTAACGCGTAGGTTTCAACGATCAGGTTCACTACGTCATTTTAACGATCAGGTCCGCTACATATGCATTAATAACATGCATTCCTTTGATGTATTTTGAAATTTTTTACATGTCACTATACATACATATATTACGCATGGCACGAGGACAGAGAGTGATATCTTTTCTAATCTTTCTTGCTGCCGACGCGAACGGTTGGAAAGGCAAATCGCTAAATAAAGTAAGACGCCCACGCGTAAAAGGTGTTAATAGAAGTTACATATATATCGTCCTTGAATTGTCGTTACAACGCGAGAGAGGAGTGGCAGGAAGAGGGGTGGAGACGATGCGTTTCTCAGCAGCCAAGTGCAATCGTCGCTCGAATGAACAATTCGAAAGGATTTCTCTGTGGTAGAATACTGTAGGTGTATACACTTGAATTCATTCTAGCGTGAACAGATGCCGCTATTATAATGTACATATATTAAGTATAGTATACGTAAACGAGATTTGCGCTTTATAGATCAGATGCGAATGTCACCAATGATTATACATATTATATGAAACGTATGATTATTACATTAACTCGCACGTATCGCTGTTGTAATTAAAATCAATATATATTTAATTTATGTATATATAACGTATATTATATACATACATATACATTATATTTGCGGTATATATATATATATATATATGTATATATATATAATAGATAGCTCTATTATTGTCATGCGATTGCTGCATACGCGACATTTACTGCTGTCCTGACATTTCCGTCGTTTAATTTTCGGTGTTTCAACTTTCTATTTTTTTCTTGCATGCGGAATGAATGATTAACTTTCACTTTACTCCTGCACACATGAATATATATTATATATACATTTGGTTTATGAATATCTTATATTAATTATTGATAATCGATACAAAATAATTATACAAGTTACGTTATCGAGTATCGATATATAGTGACCTACTAAATCAGCCGACTATATTCTATAAAATATTTAATAATTAATAATAATTTAATATATTTTTTTCTTTCAGTGATGGTACCCGTTTCATCCACGGTAATTCCATTGCCGGTGTACAAAGTAGGCTATGGCTTAGGTTTCATATCAAAAGATAAGAAGACCCAATCATCATTCAAACCAGAAGATGGCATAAAATTGATTACGAGTATGTACAAAATGTATAGCTTAAAAAAATTACGAGATCTTGTTTTTCCGATGATACGCTTTCGTAACTTTCTCTTTTTCTTATCTACATTAATGGATCATGACGCGGATGCGATATATGTATGTGTGTGAGCTGAATTGTAAAATAAATCTTACTTGCGCACGTAAATTACATGAATAGCGCACACGGTTGCATGAAAATATTAAATTTTTTATATAATTTATACGTGTGAAAGAATTATAATAATAATTACTATAATGTGGAAAACAACGTGTACTTACACTTATATTAACATTGATTCATTCTTTTTCTAGTCAGCAAAGTTCAAGAAAAGAAGATCTGATATAAATGTGAATATTCTAAGTTATGTCAAGTAATATTTGTTGGAGGCGTGCATCTTCCGAAAATGTTAGAAACGTGTGCGCCTGTTAAGTTATCTAATTAAGAAACTCTATACACCAAAAAAATATGAACCTCCATAAATGTTAATCTTTAATTATTTTATCATCGAAAATATGTATTTTATCTCTAAGATATTAAATCAAAACTAGGCAGTTACATATTTTTATGTATATGTATGAAATTGTTTACATATCTACCTTACCGATTATAATCTAAGATGTTTTAAATATTTATTTAAGAGATAGAGAATAATTTTTATTTTGTTATAAATACGATGTTAATATGTAATTAACTAAAAATATTTGTGATAATGCATCATAATAATTATAGAATACATATATATCTCTCAATTATGTTATATTTAAAAAATTTTATTCTATTTTTGTAGGTTATAACTTAATAAACATTTTTTTGTATTTCTACAATGTATTATGAAGAAACGTCCATGTTATCTTCAGCTGTAACAGCTAAAACAGTTTAAAAAATATTTAACTTTTAGTTACATAAAGTACACATATTATATAAATATATGATAACAGTATAACTTACAAAATTCATTGAACATAAAATCATCTTGATATTCCTTGAGAAATTGCGTAGATCTATTTTCATCAAGAAATAGAGAGTAGACACGTTTCACATCATCAATACTGACCTGTCATTAAAATATAATCACATTATTATAACAACATCAAATTTTCACATCATTACAATAATATTGATTTATGCGATAAATCGTATCGCCTATCCTACTTACTTCTGTAGTTTTTCTTCGACGGCTTACAAGAGAAGCCGTCGTAATTAATTGTATCGCGTATCTCAGTGATGTTTCCAAAGCGATTCTAGTTAACACGGTTAGAGCATCATCGGTCATTTCGCAATCCTCCTCTTCGCATCTTATTTTCAAGATTTCTTTCAACTCTTTCTCTTGATATGGACTCGTTGGCACAATAATCATACGATCCAGCAAATCAATTGGTATGCCATGAGGGCTCTTATAACTTGTTCCTCTAATTCTTGTGATACCTATGTAATTATATATATATAGATTATTAAATAACAATTATTTAATACGAATATAGTTAATTATTCGCGCATACCTCTATTTGTTGCCATAATTACAACTGGAGCCATTTCATTCTCCAATGCTCGATTCAGAAATGAGAAACATTCGATATCCAACATGTGTACTTCATCGATAAAAAGTACACCTGGAACTATTTCTGCCTTTCCTTCTTCTCTCCATTCCGCGACTTTGGCGTTTATTTGCTCTCGCACTTCAGATTTTATTTCTCCGGTATCTCCAGAGAATAGTGCTAAAAAGCCATGCGTTCTACTGTTTATCACATCAATTTCATGTAAGGTTACAGTGTGCACGACTTCTTTGCGCTTCTGCAATTCGCCTTCTGGACATTGTACAAAACGCGTTTGTGAACCTGTTGCATCATAATCTCGAGCTCTAGTGAAGGATCGTCCAAGTCTATTGATCTTCCCTGTAGCTTTATCAATCGTTACAACATCACCAGCTTGTACCTAAAAATAATACAAAATTGTAATGCAAATGAGAGATAATCTATTTAATATGTATATATACTAACTTTTTCTTTCATTAAGCAATCGATCATTTTATTTCCTAAATCGTAAACTGTTTCCATCTCAGTTGTTTTTAACGTCAACTTGCCAACTTTTATTCCAATTCCAGTCGCTGGTCTATCAACTTGAATCTCCACTACTTCACCTTCTATGATTTCTGTTTCTTCCTTAATTCTGACTCCAATAGACTTTCTAATAGCTTGAGTTAAGGCCTCTGTTTTACTCATCTCCAAAGAATAAATTTCAGAACCAGCCATTGATGTGAAAGGAGTATCCAGGCCTAAAGCCTGTGCCATTCCCATAGCAATGGCTGTTTTTCCTGTGCCAGGTTGTCCAGCCAATAAAATTGCACGACCTGCTATTTTACTCTCCTTAATCATCTCTAGGATAATACCAGCAGCTCGACGTGCCATAAGCTGTCCAACCATGCCTTGAGAAACCTAATATAATAACAACAAATGTTAATTTTTATTAAATTGTTTATAATTAATAAAAATATAAAATTTTTCCAAAAAAAAAATGGAATTTACATTGCGAGGCTCTAAACAATCATTCAGTCCTAAACCTCTAATATGAGAATGAGCACCAATTCGCTCTATCCTGGTGACCTCACGAACTTCTTGCACATTAGCATTAACCTAAAATAAAAAAATAATTAGATGCATAATACTTAAATATCTGCGTATTACAATAATAGGTAGGTTCAGAGAGACACTATTTCTGTCATTCTATCTTTGTTGTTTATTAGATGTAAAATATGATAGAATAACACACACAGCGTTAATAGTGTATCCCCGAAAGAAGCATAAAGCAATTGCAATAAAATGGATCAAACATTTGGTTGCTATGTCAACCAATAACAAAATTATATTAGTAAATGTATAGTATCGCTTTTCTTTATTAAAAAAACATAATTCTTTTATATAAAAATAATTTAAATAAAACATATATACATAATACAAAGTACAATAAAAATATAGATGAATGGAGATACAGGTTAAACGGTGCAGATAGAGTTTTTGATATAACAAAACTTCAATGAGATTATAGGCATAACGAACTATTTCTCTTTTATTTAGACAAACGTACTTATGGCAGATATAATTAAATAATAAATCTTACCGCCATGTTCAATAACGATTTCTCCCTCAAACCAAGCAAACCATGCAAAAACGTGCCAGGTCCAGGTGCCTAATGCCTACTGCCCGCCGGTGCCTTTTGAGGCAGTGTGGCAAACCATTAGTGATGCCGATTCTTGTATCGATGCATCGAGAATCGATTCTTTTTATTCTTGAAGAATCTATTCTCAAGCGATTCTTTAATTTCTCGATTCTTTCGGAATCGATTCAATTTTTCACAGAATCGTACCGTTTCAATTTTTTCTAAATCATTTGCTGGATTCACACTGCAATACTGCATCCGATTTTCGTCGTACGATGACTTCGCAACCAATCAGAAAAATCGTATCATCGATACGAAGCAAAATTTTGTTTTCTGATTGGTTGCAGAGTCGTCGTACGGCGAAAATCAGATGTAGTGTGAATCCAGCAATAGGCTAACCCCGGATCTACAATAGAGTTTTAAGCCTTAAGCCATAAGGAATGGACGAATCATAGTCGATTATTCTTCTCGAATTCGACTGTAATTGGTTAATTTCTTACGGCTTAAGACTTAAAACATTTATTGTAGATCCGGACTAATTGATTAATTTCTTAGGGCGGGTTCACACCTTGACGGAAAAGCGGAAAGTGGAAAAGCAGTTAACCGATCAGAACTCGCCTTGGTAGTAAAAAGTACAAAACTAACAGAAAGTCGACTACTCGATTGGCTACTGCTTTTCCGCATTCTGCTTTTCCGTCAAGGTGTGAACCCGCCGTTAGACCGGGTTCACACCTTGACGGAAAAACGGAAAGCAGAAAAGCAGTAGCCAATCAGGTAGTCGACTTTCTGTTAGTTCTATACTACTTGCTACCAACGCGAATTCTGATTGGCTACTGCTTTTCCGTCAAGGTGTGAACCCGTCCTACGGCTTAAAACATTTATTGTAGATCCGGACTAATGGCGGAAGTCATACCGGCGGAAGTGGTGGCCACTGCCGACTGCCAAAGCGGATGTCATCGCCCAAGAAAGAGTAATGGCGTTAGTTATGAGGGCACGGTATTCTCGCGATTTGTCTATTACGTTGCGAATTGGACACTGAAACGACTGGCTCGGTTTTAACTTTCATCATTTTCGTCGAGAACTTGTTTTTCTGTAGTTTAGAATCGATCGTGTTTATCTGTAAACTATCTAAAGCCCGAGAACTTCTCAATACAAGGCGATCCGCGAAAGCGTGGCGGCTGAACTGGTGGTTGTATATGTTCTTGTGCAGAAGCACGTCGTCAGCGGAAAGAACGTGAATCCGAGTTTCAAAATGTTTGTCGACTCAACGCGGTAATTCCGATTACCAACTTTAACCAACCAATCATGAACTGAGAATTTTCGGAATTGCACGTTTCGCTATCATATGTGTGTCTACCACATCGTCGTATTCATCCTATGTGCTACTTGGAGTAATGTGACGTGTACATATCATTTTTGTCTCTCCTTGCATGCCTTCCTGAAAATCAATTAATTCTTTGATTTATAATTGTAATTGAACAAAATACACTGATGTATACAATATATATATTTTTTGTGGGTGTGTATATATATATATATATATACAATGTATATATACATTTAACATAAACCTAATTTTTATAATCAAGTCGATACATAATTCATTAAAAAAGAATGCTATACATTTTTCTTGAAAGCATCTTTTTCGCAGAAATCATATATTGTAAATAAATATTAAGCTTAATTGAAGTACTTTAGTAAAATAATTAATAAAGAATGCAATATACGTACATACAATTATATTAATGTTGTTAATTTAATTTAATTTACTTTATATTTATATTTTACATAGAATCAATTGTTGAAAAATTTAACTGAGTTATTAACTAATGATTTAATTTATTATGCTCAAAAGAGAAATATACAATTTTTAGATGACATGATATAATTAAATTTACAAATAAATGTAATCTATTTGATTTAACATACTGTTTTGGGAATTTTTTTACTTATAGTTCATTTTATATAAAAATTAATATATTTTTTATATTTTTTACAGAGTCCTTTACCAGAATGGATCTATCGACTGATCATAGGATTGTTTCTACCATGAAATATATCTGACCTTTGTTATCCATATAAGTTGGAGAACATATAATTTGAATTAATTACCTGTGTATTTATATCCTCTCATAATGTCTGCAAATATTCAATTTGCAAATCCACCGCCGGCTGTAAGCTTACCCAACATGTCTGTGCCACCACCTACAACTCCAAATTTGTCAGCACCACCACCAAATTTAACCACTATAAACACATCGGGAAATTACCAGCATCGATATGCAAACCATAGAGATGGTAGTCGCGGTTTCTTCAAACCATTTAGACCTTATCATGCTCCAAAAATTGTTGCTGGAGGACAAGATACTTTGCAAGATGAATTTGATGGCAAGAGACTGAGGAAATCTGTTATGAGAAAGACTGTTGATTACAATTCTGCCATTATTAAAAGTTTAGAAGTAAGTATAAATCTCATTGCAGATTAATTAAAATAATAATTTTCGACATTATATCTTAACTATTGAATCTTTATAGAATCGAGTATGGCAGCGGGACTATAGGGATCGTCGCGCACTTCAACCAGATGTAATATATTATCCTGATTTACTCCCTCCACCAAGTTATATTGACAATCCTATAAATGCAGTTACTACGAGGTTCGTAAAAACGGCTACCAATAAAATGCGTTGTCCAATTTTTTGTATGGCTTGGACACCAGAGGGTAGACGTCTCGTTACTGGCGCTTCGAGTGGAGAATTTACTTTGTGGAATGGCCTTACTTTCAATTTTGAAACTATTCTACAGGTATATTTTATGTTATAAGTATAGTATTTTATGTTATAAGAGTAGTATAGAATTAACATCTTGCTTGAAGACAATTGAAAGGCAATGATTTATTTTAAATGTATTTTATATATATATATATATGTATATAATAGTTTGTTTATGTCTTATTATATTGAGATATCTCGAGAGATAAGAACTTTGTATGATTTTGCAATTTCTAGTTTTGTATATCTTACAGAATATAGAGATTATTTTGTACAAAGGATAATTTCATATAGTCTCTTTTATTTTTATTATTGCATGCTATATACTATTTATAACTTTTAAAAAAAGTTCTTTGATGAGAGAAATTAATTTATTTGTTTAGGCACATGACAGCCCAGTCAGGACAATGGTATGGTCACATAATGAAAGCTGGATGGTAACAGGGGACCACGCGGGCTATGTGAAATATTGGCAGAGCAACATGAACAATGTGAAGATGTTTCAAGCACACAAAGAAGCGATTAGAGGACTCAGGTATATCATCCACCACACTAGTCCTTACGTCTCTTGCGTCACTGTTGCCGATCGGTCCATCCTTGCCATAGTTAGGATATCGGACGTGACTCTTCTTCTCTTCCTTTTCTGGTTTTGTGCAGTTTCTGGTAAAGCAATAGTGATTCTTGTATGGGTACACAGGTGATTTTAAACAAGTTCAGTATAAGATCGGATAAAATACAACGAAATATGACATTTCCGTCGTGATCATGGAATGAACCATGGAATGTCTATGAAAAAAGCTAATTGTTAAATATCTTGATCGAATTCGCGTAAAAAAGTTTTGATATCTTTTGCCGAATTAGAGAATTTTTGGAATAGATTAGCTTTCAACGTATATGAAAATATTTTCAATATATTGTGGCAAATTATATTTTTAAAACGATAAATTTTAAAAAAGTTCAATAGAATTTGCAAAACTAATAAATAAAATTAATAATATTGAGAGAAGGCTCGACAATAATAAATAAATATTTTTATCGCATTTTTATCGTGACTCATAAAAATCAGTATACAAGCATAGTGTAAATTTTTTGCGTACATTATATATGCGCGCATCGATATAATTTATTATTTGTATTTATAGAGTCCTAGGGACCTAACTTTCGATGAACCAACTATTCCATATAATAGTATCGATAATGCGTTCATCACACATCAAAATGACACACATTTTAAATTAAGTTGTTATAATGCTATTAGGTCCTTATGGCTCTCGTTTTAAGCTGTTTATGTGGCTAGATTATTTATTCGGCAAAGATGTATGTTTTAGATAAATAAAAGAACAAAATATATATATATATATATACATATATGGCAATACCTAGTCGAGATTCCCATATAATGATAAATAAAAGATGAAATATCCTGTGTCCTTCTTATATCGTTTAAGTTTCAATAAAGTTAAATAAAGACATTATTATTGCATGGCTATGAAAATAAAATATTTTATCTTTAGTTTATGTGTCACTTGTGCCCTTTTAGAGAGAGAGAGAGAGAGAGAGAGAGAGAGAGAGAGAGAGAGAGAGAGAGAGAGAGAAATAAAGAAAGAAAGAAAGAGTGCGTGTGCGTGCGTGTGTGCGTGCGTGTGTGTGTGTGTGTATGTGTGTAGGAGGGAGAGAGGAGAGAAAGAGAGAGAGAGAGAAAGAGAGAGAGAGAGAGCGTAACAAACAAATATAAGACATAATTCATGTACACTTCGGACATTTTTTTGTGCAATAAATGTTAAATTTTGAAAAAAATATTGCTATTAATACATCACTCGGTGGTCATGTGGCATCAAAAATCAATTTTAATTTTACCAAGAGATGAAACTGTTGTACTATCTGATAAATAGAATTTTATTTGAGTGCCAGATATGACTGTCGCGGATGGTTTTTTGTTTATTTACAATATATGTTTATACATATAAAGATTCCTTTTTTTATTACTGATCTCTATCTATTTTTCACAATGGCGTACTCGTAAAATTTTGCTATATGTTTTTTATTACATTTGTTCCGGTTTAAGTTAAAATTCGGGAATATACCACTCATGTGTGCACTAATTTGTGTACACGGTTTGCTCGCATTTCTTTTCTGTCTCTCCGCGCGTATACTGCTTTCAATATCAACAACAAGCACACTGGAGAATCATCAAAGGAAAGCTAGGAACTATTTATAAAATAACAACTTTTTATATACATTTAATTATAATTTGCATCTATTCTATTGATTTTTTTTATTACGTGATTTAAAACATATATAAAACATATATAAAAGTTTAAAAAAAATAAATAAATTTATGTAACTGGAGCATATTAAAAAAGATTTTTTTTAATTACAGTATGTACAACACAGCCATAATTTAAAAAACTTTTTAAAAAATCCATAAAAAATATTGATAATTTAATAACATTTTTTTGGTTTCATTTTTGCATATATATATATATATATATACATATATAAATATGTCAACATTGCATGCGGTAGTTATAATAAAAATAATAAGGAATCAGTAATAAATGTAGGCAATTGTATGTTTGACTCAATGCTAAAAACTAACGAATTATACCGTAACAATGTCCGTAAGGTGTATCATGTTTTTCATATATCATTTCTTTATAATATATAACTATTTTAATATTCTTTCTTATTACATTCTTCTTCGTTTTGCTATAATACAATGATTTAATTTTTTGTAAAATGAATTCAATAAAAATTCGTGAAGACAACAATTGTATTTATTTTCTTACAATTAGTCATTTCGAGATAATAAACTATTATTTGATTTCTTAATTCTTAAACTGATTATATAAATTTTTGATATATTGCAATGTTATAATAAACGGTTAATGCTTTTTCAGTATAACGCGTAAATTATTTAATAAACTATTCTAGCTTATTTTTGATTTTTTTGTTATGGATATTGGCAAATATTAATACAATTTTTTATTATATATGATAATGCATTGTTCAAGTGTAACTTGTTTCTTTTGGGCGGGTAGTTTCAGCCCGACGGATCACAAATTGGCAACTTGCAGTGATGATGGAACTGTCAGAATTTGGGACTTTCTTCGCTGTCATGAGGAACGAATTCTCAGGGGTATATATATATATCTTTGATCTTATTTATTATTTATTAATATTATATGAAATTTATTTTTTTCTTTGTTTATTGTTTAAATAGTTTGATTTTGAAATATGTGTATTTTTTATTCTTACAATTTACATATTTATTATATATAACACACACGTGTGTGTATGTTGTATATAATAAATATGTAAATTGTATGAATAAAAAATACACATATTTCAAAATCAAACTATATATGATATACACACAAAATGCACGCACACGCGCGCGCGCTCGCACATGCATACACACACATATGATAGTTTGTTTTTTTAAAATAGAATCTTAATTCCTTTATTAAAAACAAATGATAATTTTTTTTTAATTTTACATTTTATGTTATTTTTTAACAAATATAAAAAATGACCACCACACACACTCACACACACACACACACACACACACACACACACACACACACACACATATACATACATACATTAAGTACAATATGTCATAGTATTTTTTCTACAGGTCATGGTGCAGATGTCAAATGCGTACATTGGCATCCACAAAAAAGTCTAGTCATTTCTGGCAGTAAAGACAATCAGCAACCAGTGAAACTTTGGGATCCAAAAACTGGACAGTCTCTGGCGACTCTGCATGCACATAAATCTACCGTTATGGATGTAAAGTGGAATGAAAATGGTAACTGGTTAGTAACTGCATCAAGAGATCATCTTTTAAAACTTTTCGACCTCAGGAATCTTAGTCAAGAAGTTCAGACTTTCCGTGGCCATAAAAAGGAAGCATCTAGCGTCGCATGGCATCCAAGCCACGAAGGTCTCTTTTGTAGTGGTGGTAGTGATGGCGCCATACTCTTCTGGCATGTTGGGTACATATCATTGTTTTTATCTATAATCATAGTACATAATCATTTTTTATTTTACTTATATGATTGCTATTTTTCTTAAGATTGAATTGGTGCAGTTAATGTAACTTTATCTTGTATTTTAGAGCGGATAAAGAAGTGGGAGCGATAGAACAGGCGCACGATAGCATAGTTTGGACATTAGCTTGGCATCCATTAGGGCATATCTTATGCTCTGGCAGTAACGATCATACGTCCAAGTTTTGGACGCGTAATAGACCAGGAGATCTGATGAGAGATAAATACAATCTCAATACATTACCGGCAGGTGCAGCTGGTATCGATGATCACGAAATTGGTACTGAATATTTCTTAAAATTATTTCATTGATACGATATAAAATTTAATACGATATAATCTTTTATTTTCTATTTCTCTCTCTAATATCTTATTCTATTTCATTTGTCTTAGCTGATGAAGCAGCGGTGATACCTGGTATGGGACCAGAGGATAGAATCAACGCAGATTGTGAATCCGAGGAGAAAAATGGCGGAATTCCTGGTCTGGATTTAGATCATGCGGTGGATGAGGGCAAGAAATTCGCCAATAAGAAAGTTCCGTACAGTAAACCGATACCTCGAAATTTCCAAGCGCAATGGAACGAAATGGAAGCTGAAGATATTGAGCAAGTTGAAGCACTTAATGCATTTGTCAATCAATTAATAGAGACAACGCCAGGTGCCGTCCCACTAAACGAAGTTACGCCCAACGCCATTATATTATACGGGAAAATGATTCCAGTGGAATGTAAGCAATATATTTTAGTAAAATAAATATAAGTTTTAAGCATAATATATCAGTCTTGAAGCATATTAATTAAAAAAAAAACAGTTATATGTAGTTATTAAACTCAGTTACATCTTTTAGCTGACTCCAAACTGGCTGAGGCAATCAGTAAAGGAACCGATGCCATAAACAAATTAGTATTTTCTGGTGAAATAGAAGAACTACGAGACGTGGTAGGTCCACCGGATAATATGGATGAGGCCGAAGAATATCTGCAAGATGACGGCGAGATCGATTATTCTAAAGTGCCAGACGTAGATTTGCCACCACCCTTGCCTAGCTCCAAATTCGCACAGAATCCGGAGCTGTTAAAATCACTAAATCGCGGCGGTAAGCGTAAATTCGATCAATTGATTGGCTGGAGCGATGGTGGAGCTAGCGATCGTATATCTAAGATGCATCAGCCAGTCTTTGGTGGTATAATTACGGAGGACTCACAATCTAGCGACACCGATTTGAGATTTAACAAGTCAAGTCTCGCCGCGGAGAACAATTCCTTCCATAGTGGTCAGGATGAAGATCATAGGAGGAGCGGTCTTCACGATCTATCGAGAAGTAATCGTGGCGATGAGGATCTTAGATTCAATATGTCCGCTGGTCCTGGTAGACCCGGTTCACTCAACGAATACGATTCGCGCGGCAATAATTTCGTGGACAAGGATTTTCGCAATTTTTTGTCATCCAAGTCTTTGAATGATGACGATTATGACGAGCGGGAACACGATAACGCCGGCGGCCGCTGGGATGACGAAGAGACCGATGGATCGCATGGCAAATTGGACAATACGTTCGGCAACAATTTCGACAAACGCGATAACGGCGTAGCAATGGGCATGAGTAATAGTATGCATAGTCATATGGCTGGCATACCTCATCTGCCAAATCATCATAACATGCAAAATATTAATCCCAACATGCCGCCACCGATACCAAGTCTAGTACCGCATCCCAATATGTCACAGCATCCTGGCATACAGGGTAAATCGCCGCATCCTGGTATGCCTGGTTTAGATGGCCCGATGCCACCCCATATGATGCCGCATCATCCAAACATGCATCCGGGCTTTGGACCGAATGGACCACCGCCCGGTGGTTTCGGACCCAACTTTCGACCACCTCCGAATAGCAATTTCGGTCCGAATCATTTTAGACCAAATCCGATGTTGCCATTTGGACCGAATCAGGGCCCGCCGCCGTTTGGTAATAACTTTCAGGGACCGCCCAACTTTCGCGGACCGAATGTCGCTCCGATGAATTTCGACCGACCAAGTTTCGGACCTAATTTTCGCGGCCAAACTCCACAGGGTCAGTTGAACAATTTTAATTCCAACTTTGGCAACTTTGGCAAAAACGGTCCCAATCGCGGCATAAGTCGTGGTGGTGGTGACAATATGGGCAGGAGTGGCTATAGTAATCGCGGCAGAGGACGTGACAACGATCAATCAAGAGGAGGGAGGGGAAGAGACAATTATTGAAGAGATTTCTCGGAACAATGTGCGTGATTATCGACAATGTTCTTATACCTCGACATGAACTGTCTTGCATGAACCGTTCAGTGAAACTCATTATATAAGATAATTAATGTGCCGGTGTCCTCGAGTGAGTGAACTTTGTTACTCATCTATGCGAAAATATCTGGTATTTGTGAAATATATATATATAGATATATAAGCTATATGTATATATATGTATATATACATATACTATATTATTACTACATATATATTTCTCTTCTTTTTATTTACGATTCGCCTAATGAACTAACGATCGAGCACTATGTATGCTAGATTTACGCGAACCGATTGTATAGAAGATGATTAATTAAACTTTCTTTTAAAGGGGAAAGAAAGAGAGAGAGAGAGAGAGAGAGAGAGAGAGGGAAAGACATGAGAACGAATCGCTGATTCAGATTTGGATTTACTCTGAATTGAGTTGATTTATGTGGTGCAGTATGCTACAATAGAAACAGTTTTCTTTTTCAAGACAAAGAAACATGAAATTGTAATATAATGTATTAGGGATTGGCGACATGAATACTAATCCGATAGACACTGTTCACAAGCTGCCTTGCGAGGAAATTCTTATTCCATGTGTGTCGGTAAATGTGCGTTAATCGCATTGGATGATGCATAATTCTGGAGGAGAATGGGTACGAATGTATGATTGACTTTTGCGTCTGTTTGTCGTTCGAAAGGCGTGAGAGTGTCGGAACAGTCTATCAACTATTAATAAAACAGAATAACATAAAGCATCTTTCGTTTCTGCCCTATTTTCGCATGTGCACTATACGCTAAGCGAGCGAGCTCAACTGGGATAACCGTGACATAAAGGAAAACATTTTTTAAAGATTTAAAAAGAATATAAGAGTTTTCAGATAGTACACACATTATTGAACTTGATGTAAAAAAGAGTTGTAAAGAAATTATAAATTTCTTATAATTATAAAGTTGTCCATTTAAAGATTATCTATAAATTGTGACTTACTTTACGCTACTGATTTGAAAGTTTGTAATATTTCTCTTAGTGTCTTTATACATATTTGTTGAATATAATATAGCTATAATTTTTACAATTACTTATATAACAATTAGATCTATTGTTGAAAACTAATGTCACTATTTTAATGTCACAATTATCCTGATTGAATTTATATCGGTTTTCTCTTGATCTTGTATAATATACAAATGTAATACAGCGAATATCGAATCATGATAAAATTCTGAACGGAAACAGATTACATTTTAGAGATCGAAACCGATGATAATCATTCAATTAGTTCATTGTTTCATACTATAAATTCGTGTTTTTATAATTGCACATAAAAATAAGATACATTTTTCTCTATATTAATTTTGTTAGAACGCGAATTTGATCTGTTTCGATCTCTGAATTATGTTCCTCTTTAGGGGCATTTTGAATTGTAACATGATATATCCGTCGACTTATTTCAAGAAATATACATAATTTGCGTTATTTATTAATTATCAATAAAATGCATTCTTTTAATAATATCTCGTTAAGATATCGTCTTGATTTTTTTATATAGTGGTAGTATCACAACAATTAATTTCTTGCTATTGTGGGTGTTTGTTTTTTCCTTTCTGATTCCATTTAGACTCTCCGCTACATTTCATTTAAAATTTAAACGTTCATGTTCGTGAAATCTGAACACGCCTTAAGTATGGTATGGAGCTCGTTCAACGTGAGGTGAGGTTATATATCTTATAAAACATAACCTTCAAGTTGCAGATAATCTGTGGCAGACAGTTGTAGAGTCCATTCCAACAGAATTCAAGAATCACACAGAAATTATGGGCAAGAAAGGCAAAGGAAGAAGTGGTAATTTAGGAAAATCTTTAATCAGGGATCGATTTGGATCTACGAAAATTAAAAAGAACAGCAATGAGTCTATGGTAAAACAAAAATTGTAACCTTTTCTTTTACATGTCCTTTTTGACGCGTAGAGCAAGTTGGAATTAATTCCACAGATGTTTTTCATAAACAGTACAATTTGAAAAAGTAATCTGTTGGGTTGTTTACATTTTTAGTTATTACATATAACATATTTTTTATGTTTATCAGAAATCTTTCAGTTGCTAGATATATCTATCGAGCATTTCATCTATCGATGATACACTTGTTAATAAGTTGTTGATAAACTATTATTTACAGTAATTTTTTTCTTGCTTTTTATATAGCTTCACACTACAGAGATCAATGATGGTTATGATTGGGGTCGACTCAATTTACAATCAGTTACAGAGGAGAGTTCGTTTCAAGAATTTCTGTCGACTGCTGAACTTGCAGGAACAGAGTTTACTGCAGAGAAATTAAATATTAAATTTGTGCAACCCAGTAGTAGTGGGCTGCTTTCAAAGAATGAAAAGGACAAAGTATTGGAAGTGCAAGAAAGAAACAAGGACCTTGTTAAAATACCTAGAAGGCCCAAGTGGAATAGTTCCCTAAGTGCTGAAGAATTGCACACTCTTGAGAAAGAGGCATTCTTAGAATGGAGACGTAATTTGGCCAAATTGCAAGAAGTGGAAGGATTGATATTGACGCCTTATGAGAGGAATTTAGAGTTCTGGCGACAATTATGGAGGGTAGTAGAACGCAGTGATGTGATTGTGCAAATTGTAGATGCACGCAATCCATTGCTCTTTCGCTGCGAAGATTTAGAACGTTATGTTGAAGAAATAAATTCTGACAAATTGAATATGATTCTTCTTAATAAAGCAGATTTCTTAACGGATGAGCAAAGAGAGGCATGGGCAAAATATTTTACAGACCTAAATGTACGAGTGGCCTTTTTTTCCGCTACATTAGCAGTAGAGAAACGGTTGATACAAAAAGAGGATGAAGATGAAGCAAAATCGATAGATAAAAATGACGATTCTTTTGATAAAAAGGACGAAAGTAGTACTGACGAGTGGACCTCTGAATTTGCTTCAGAATCAGAGTACGAAAGCGCAGAAAATAGTATCATTGACAACGATATGTCTACTGTACCTAATATAGAAATTGCTAATGATAAACAAATGGAAGCTCAATATGCAATGGAGAACTTAAAGATCTCTACAACAGACTCGGAAGATAAAACAAATAAAATAGTTAATTCATCAAAATTATTAAATAGAGACGATCTTGTGAAATTATTTAAAATAATTTCTAACGGTAAGAAGACCTATACGGATGGAGTGACAACGATTGGTCTGGTAGGATATCCGAACGTTGGAAAAAGTTCTACAATCAATGCTTTGCTCATGGATAAAAAGGTTTCGGTGTCTGCCACACCGGGTAAAACTAAGCATTTTCAAACTTTGTATTTAGACAAGGATTTATTATTATGTGACTGCCCAGGTTTGGTGATGCCAAGCTTTGTTTGTACAAAAGCGGAGATGATCTTGAATGGCATATTACCGATTGATCAGATGCGAGATCATGTGCCGCCAATTACAATGCTGGCTACATTGATACCTAGGTATATTCTAGAGGATCTATACGGTTTTATGCTACCTGTACCATCCGAGGGAGAAGACCCAAATCGCGTCCTAACTGCAGAGGAACTTTTGAATGCGCACGGTTGTATGTAATCAGTTTAAATTGAAATATAGTAAAAAAAAAGAACTATGCTTCAGTTTTATATTTATAATATATATGTTGTATATATAAATTATGTGTTCACATATCTATTTATAATAATTATAATATATATTTTTATAAATTGATATCATATTTGTTTGCAGATAATAGAGGTTTTATGACGCAGAACGGTCAACCAGATAATCCACGTTCAGCCAGATACGTTTTAAAAGATTTTGTTAATGGCAGATTGCTATACTGCGTTGCACCGCCAACATTTGATCAAGAGCGCTTTCATAAGTTTCCGCCACGACGTCGTAATATATCCACAAACAAACATATACCACCCCGAATGATTCGTGTAAACGAAGGCTGTCGAGTAACAGTCAATGCCGTAGATCGGAAATTTTTCCAGGATCCACATGTCAAGATTCGTGAACCTACGCTGCAATACTCCACAATGTAATGTCAAAATGTTGATTTTATTTAAATAGTCACTCATATATAATAATGTAATAATAATCATGATTTATTAAAATGTGTTCGAATTCTAATCGAGTGACATTCGTCATACATGATTGAAATATATATATATATATGCAGGGAATGGAAAGTTACTTTTTAAAAATAACTAGTTACAGTTACTCGTTACCGAGTAAAAAATGTAACTAGTTACAGTTACAGTTATCGCTTTTTAAAAGTAACTCGTTACAGTTACCGTTACTTGAAAAATAACTTTTCGTTA